TGCATTCTCACCAACATATGATGAAATCATCCGTTTAATCTGTGACAGAATTGATTTGAACTAATTCAGAAATTTATTGAAGCATACAGCATGCAAACAAGGACTACATTCTACTAATAAACCACACTTAAATGGCAAAATTGCCTGACCCCATTATTTTTAGTGAAACAAACCTGTTGAGTTTTAAGAAGCAAGCCAAGACCAAAATCGTCAACTCTACGAGAAAATATAGCACATGAATGTTATTTAAGACATTTTTTGAAACAATGAAAAAAAACTTATTCTACATTATATATAAAAACTACTTCACATTAATTTTTTAATTACTACTTTACGTAGCCTGCGAGCAAGCTCTCCATGCAGTGTGCTCTGGCAGTGGGGCGGGAAAAGGAAGGAGAGCTTCAATGCACTCTGGAATTTGAATTGCACCTCCAATCCCCCTGCGGCTGACCCTGTCGACTGAGCTGTCAGATTTCCACCAATCAGCGCAAAGCAAAAACAAGTGCGAATGTAAACAAACATTAAAAAACATGTGCTAAGGGTATGGACGTCATTACTTATCTCATCTCCACCAATCAGCATTTCGCATCGACTTTTTGCAATGCTGATATTCAAATTCCAGAGAAGTACTTGCAAGCTCTCCTTCCTTTTCCCACCTTGCTGCCAGAGTGCCCCGGAAAGCTTGCTTGCAGGCTATATTTTACAATGCCACATGGTTAGCTTAATTGGATAAGCACCAGTCTACCAAGCAGGAGGCTTCAAACCCAGGCAGGACCAACTCTCAAGCAGGAGAAAGTGCCGCCTTTGTAAAGACATCTACCCTAGCATATGGTTTGACTTAGTTTCTAGTCTTCTCAGATGAGGATAATAAACCGTAGGCCCCCCTCACAACCTTTGCACATATAAATTTTCTTTGTAAAGAGTAGGGGACGTAGTCACCAGTGTGGTGGTCTATCTCTCATTGGGGGAGGGACTGTTATGGACTTGCAGTAATTGACGCCAAAAGCTGTTGCAGTCACTGTACCAAGAATTGCAGAACATAAGTAAATAACACTATGAATTTCATTTATAAAATGTTATGGCACCCACTGACCCTGCATTGTTGCTGACGCACGTTAAGTTCTTAACTCCAGTTTTAAGAAGGCCAGCAATCAAGTTCTCAGGTATTCCACAGAGACCAAATCCTTAGAAAAACAAAACAAAAGTGTTCTTCATTAATAAGTGGTCTCAGGCAGATGGATTGATAGGTGTTCAGATGGAGAAGCAAAAAAGGATCAAGTAGCATTTCTACAACAAAATCTTCTCTATCTGAATTAAAATTATAATGACATTTGTTTGGCTGTTTGTTTTAAAATGATATCTTTTAGGGGCCAAATAAAGCTGAAGCCCAACTGAATTGGTTCCCTTTAGGGATTTTAACCCACATTTCGGAGGAGCATCCCCACTCATTTCCACATGGGAGTTATACCCTCATCCCTTAGAGACTAAGGTGACTGACCTCCTACCAATAATTTTGCTCCATCAGGAATATCCTTTACAGCTTCTTCTCCATTGTTGTAAAGCTTAAGCAATCTAGAGGAACTTGTTGAGAACTTGCAATGGAGTATAGATGGCTGAAAAATAATAAACAGATTACGATGGTTACTGCTGACAATGTTTCCATTAACATTCTTAACAAGTTATCCGTCATGAGCAGGGGGGAGGTACAGGAGGGTAAATCTCCCTCCTCCCTATTATGAACCTTCCCCCTCCATGAGACCATTCAATTGATAATTTCATGTCATCCAGTTCTGACCCCTCTCTCCTTCATAAATGTAATATTGCTAACAATGTCATAAAATGGTCACCAGATTCATTACTTTTTGAAATGAAAAACTGTTACATCCTGGATGGCAAAAACAGTGGTAGTAAACTGGGGCTCACTGCACACTAGCATATTGACCCATTCTTTTTCCACTGACACCCCTTGGACTGCATACTGACACTACATGACGATGGCTACAGATAAACATGATACTGCTCAAGATGAGCAGCACAAGACTTTTTATTTTTCGTGAGTAGCTATGATGCTACCATCAGTTGTTGAGATATTTTGTACAGTCAAAGCTACAAATGTACACTGTACTCTCCACCATATCGCAATCAAACGTGGAAGTAGTCTTGACTTATGCATTTACAGCCTCAATATCAACTTTCGATCAATTTGGGCAAAACAAAACAATTTTGCCACAAAGGAAACCTAAACCTGAGTGTCTGTCCTTCCTGGTCAGCGGTTGTCATACATCATGTACTACATCAAGTTTATATATTTTGTTTCACTGGAAAAGAAATCGGTCTCTGTCTAAAATAGGAGCATCTGTCTTGATCTACGTCAACAGATAAACCTTCCTGTAAAGGAGATGAGAGGAAATTCAGCTAAACGCGATATAAAACAATCGAAAATAAGCTGACATCGGTGAGGTAATATTTGATCATTGCGATACAAGGAACAATTTATCAACGGGCTTCTTTAACACTTCAAAACATTCAAATACAATAATAAAAACATTCACAGCAGGTTTTTTCCTTTATTGTTATAGATTATTCAATTCCTAGAAGCTAACAATGCATAAGCTTATGAGATTCAGCTCGCACAACACAACAATGCATGTTCCTGTATGTTCAACTTTAAATTGATCGCCCCAAAGTAAAAAGTGAAGAAAAGATCGCCAAAAAGCTACAACATACTTACCAAAACCTGGTGATGATTTCTCAGGAGCGGTTTCGTTCTCAAGACACCAGCAAAGATGCATTTTGTTAAAGTCATGGCAAAGAAAGAACACACGATCGCTGTTTCCCGCTTGTTAAAAACACGAACCAATGTCTAGTCAGCGGCTTATGCCATTACCATCCCACCTAAACGCCCACTTTTTCTCTGAGGTCCTAAGAATTATGTCCCTTTGAGGATAAGGTGCATTTAGTAATTCCAAGTTTCCGTCAACCAGTTTTTGTTTTGTTTCAGAAACTGCAGTATCTCCAAAGTAGCCAGAAAAACTGAGGGTGCAACCGTTGCGTTTATCTTTCTTCCCCTCAAGCTCTATCTCCTCGCTCTCTCTATTTTGCAGGTCAATTCTTTTGTTTCCGTAGTGTGATTTTTGGGCTTATCGGAAGTGAGAAACCTGCCTTTTTTACCTATTTTCAGTCACATGGCTGCAATTTTTGGTAGATACGTACTCAAAAATCGAGTAAGAATTATAGCACAAAATATTTAAATGCAAAATTACATGCGATGAAAAACGCTATGTACCGTCCGGAACGCAGGCGTGGACTAATGGCGATAAATCATCAGGCTGGACAATCACAAAATGTAAACTTAATGGTATTAGGGAGCTTTTGCAAAGGCGTTTTTGAGCTACACGCGTCAACCGGAAGTGAAGGGGCACTACTAAATTTGTATTAGCATAAATTTCGTGGGAGCACAATGATGCACACGTATGGGTAAGAATTCTTTTCTCTGTTACTGGATCAAATTTGATTTATAATTTTTGTTTCAAAATCAGTATTAATTTCTGGGTTGGAACAGGTTGAACCTTATTAGTTTTAAGTGATTAAAAGTCTAAAAATGGACGCTTTGCTTTTAGCCTTGGCTAAATTTATATATTATTGCTAAGTGCCTTTTGTCTTTATTTTTATAGAGACGGTTTGCCCGAAAATGTGGACAAAACCACAGCCCAAGAATGCTGAAGTCCACTGACTTTCGGTTGACGTACGTTGCTCAAAAACGTGTTTGCTCCATTTTATAATTAAGGAATTCAACACTGGACAGGACGAAAACAGCTTCTTATTTTCAACTTGCAAGTAAAATGGCATCCTCAAGTTTTGCTTTTTATCTGCCAAGATAACACTGGTCCGCAGAGTCGACAACCAGTTTCCTTGATATAAATGGTTCTGTTTTCATGCCATACAAGGCGCGTTGGAGATAACAAAAACTTAGAAGTCTAAGTGTGTTTCTGAACATCTTTTTGCAAGCTGAGCAAACAAAGAGGCTAGCTCGCCGTGCGAAAGACGCATTTGTACTCTTGAGTCTCTAAGAGAAAGTGTTGACGCTAGTAAAGTTTGTGCTAATGGCTGCACTTAATTAACTTTGAATGAATTTTACCTTGAATTTTTTTCCTCTGGTGTTTTTGGTGTAATAATTCTGCTGTGCGCATGCGAATTAATCTCAACGTCCATCTATGGGGTGGAACTCAATGAGTACACATTTATACTCGCCTCTGAATTGTGGCATAGAAAAATTTTCTGTCAAAAATAACTTGTGACAAATAACGAAGTAGCTTTGTTTAACGATAATGAAAAGTAAGACTTGTCTTAGGCGCTTTCTAGTTAAGCGTGAGTTGGGCAAGCTGTGCAAACTTTACACAGTGGTTTTGAAACGAGAAAATGTAAATTTCCTGAAAGCTTAAATTGTTTTGTCTCTAAAGTACAACTAATGACAAACTAACCGGATATTTTACTTACTAGTCTGTTAAAAGCTAAACGTAAACAACGGCTGGATGCTCATTTTCGGCTATTGGTTAGCTCATATTAATTAATTCACAAAAACTTTAATTTGTTTATTGAGACAACCGTATGCTTTTTTTATCAGAAACAGCAATTAGGCGGTGAGTTAAACTTGAAAGTCTGTATTTCCTAAAACCAATGAGAAAGTTGACATGAAATAAATATGGAAAGATCAAATTTTTATTGCTATTTGAAAGGAAAAAAGGGCAGGCGCTCAGTAATGGATAAAATGAGAGGTTCTTTGAAGTGATTTGAACTCTACGCCAAGAGAACGGGAAGGGTAAAAGCGCATTTACTGTCAGCAACAACAGCAACAACAACAAGTAAAAACAACAACCTCAGAAACCTAAGACGCTGCGCTGTGGAAAGTTAATGATATTTAGATGCCGTTTTCCGTCGATACAAAGAAGCGTTCCGTTCTACTACTCAGCTTTCTGCTCATTATTACTCTACCGCCGGTTCTTCCCGAGGCGTTCTTTTCAATTACTGCAAACAACAAGGCTCTTGTAGGGTTTACCTACAGGGCAGTTGACAATGCCGATTGGTTAGATTGCATCCAAGCTTGCCAGACTGAGGTCTCTTGTATTTCATACAATTTCTGGCAAGGGAGATGCGAGCTTAATAATTGTGGCTTTGAAGACGGATGTAGTGCAGAAAGCACTCTGCTGATATGGGTTCCTGGTTCAACTTTTCAACAGTTAGCTCCCATTCAGGTAGGTCACTCTACAAGGTAAGGTAAGGTAATCTTTTTTTATGCACGGTGTTACAAATTCATCAGACATGAAATATTATAAAAAAAATTAAAAGCTTAATTACAATTACTGGGTTCCGCTAAATACAGTATTAAAATTATTCAATTAAGTATATACGAGAAAAAGCCTGTTTTACATGAATGCGATGCCTTACTTGATATTATCATAACTGTGCAGACGTGATTTGAAATTACGAAGGGATTCTGCTTGCCTTTAGTTAACGTTTCAGGAAGACTATTCCACAGAACAGCACCACCGTAGCGAAAACTATTACGGAGACAATTTGTGTATGGCTGTGGAATATAGTTAATTTATTTATATAATCTCGAAAATTGTATGAAGGAGTATTAGATCGAGCATTAGAACGGTGAGGTGACATCTTTTATCTTTTAGTCTTTTTGCTATTTGTGTGTATTCTATAATAGCTATTATTATTTCTTTTTTTATTATTATTATTTCTTTCTGCTCTTGCCCTCTTCTGGATATTACCTTCACCCTTATTTGCCGATATTATTTTACCTGAAGTACAGAAATAAGACATCCTTTTAATTTTCTCTCCATATGGATCGAACCCATTTTGATCAAGGAAGGTCGTCTAAAAATGGACTTTAAGTGTGATCCCATTGTATCGCTCTTCTTTAAATTCGCAGGATGAAAAATCAAGATGCAAGGATAAACGGGAAAGCTTGAAAAAAGATGGAAGAGGTAAGAAAAATCTTGCATGGCCGTTTTTAGTTTTTGAGTTCCCAAAATGGTTTTAAGTTGTGGTTTTTTTTTCTTTTTAAATTCTAACGAGTGAAAATGAATGAGTTTTACAGATATGTTATTGAATTTAGAGGTTGCCAAAAGGCGTTGAGGAAGGGGAACAGGGGAAAGTCGATACACGAGAACGCGAAGAATGCGCGCGGGAACCAGAGGGTGCAAGCGAAAACGCAAAAGGGTACTCGCTTATAAGAGCAAAGGCTAAACGAGAAAACCGGGGAGGCGCCAAGGATGTGCGCGGGAAGCCAAAGGGTGCACTAGAAATATTAACACACATCAACTCGTTCACTGACGTAGTAACCGGATCTACTTCTTTTCTAATTTTTAGTTATGATAAACGCAAGCTTTAGCTGCACACATAACATGTCAGCCTACGTGGATGGCGATTTTGTGACATTAATGAATTCAAGAAAACCAGTGAAGGATATCGACTGTGAACCCCAAGCTATTAACTTCGCAATCCCTAATTCCACCCGAGTCGTTGCCATAGCAGCAACGGGCAGACAGGCTTCGATTATTGGCTCATTTAGTGATGGTGTCGTCACAGACTCCACGTGGAAGTGCAACTCACAAAAGGAGCTTAAGTGGGCCCTTCCTGAGTTTAATGACGATCTCTGGAAAGCAGCAGAAGAAACTTCACCTACGAAAGGAGGAACTAACGGAATAACTGAAATTTCCTCCAAGGCAAAGTGGATCCATATCACTGAAGATGATTCCACGCAAAATATGTATTGCAGACTAAGTCGTAAAATAGGATCTCTGAACTAGAAATTCCCCCCCCCCCCCCCCCCCCCCCCCCCTCCTCCAACCGCCCACACACCCCCCACTGCGGGCATTTTACTATTTTCCTCCTTTCTTTTACTCCTTCTATGTCTGTTTTATCCGTGCGCACGTCCGTGTGTGTTT